TCTTTATATATATATATATATATATATATATATATATATATTCTCTTGGTTTAAAACCACTGTAAAGCAATGAGATATGAAAGCAGGCAGTTTGGTCCATGCATTGAAAGTGTGTCTTGATGATCCATCTGTTTATTGGTATAAAGAAGAAATTATTCGGCTCCATTCAAATGGGAATGCAAGTGAAATTAGAATAAGGAGGTTATCTTTCTTTTAAATGACCCTTTAGATAAACTCATATTCTGTGTAATGCATTTTAAAATGTCTAATAACAGGGGGGGTTTGTGATGACTAATGCAATTGCTATGACTTATTTTTAAAGACGTAATAAAATTTTTCTTCTAATACCCAGTCAAAGAAATATTAAACTTAGCTTTCTTCATCCCAGTATCATTTGGCTGTATCATTTAGCTACAAAGTGAGGACATTCTGTGAAGAAGCAAGGGCAGTGCATCAGAAATGTTAGAGCAGGTACATGATTAAATGTTTGTCTATGTGTTTCCAAAAGAGGGCATGGCCAAGGGGAAAAAAATCACAATTAGGTTAATAATTTACACACGCAAATCAATCCACAGCTGTTTTATAGGAAATATTACAGATATGTTATATACAGTAGGCATAATCCTGCAAGTCTATTGTAGAAGCATCTGGCACACTTCTGGACTGTGTTCTTTCTCTCATAAGAAGAAAGGAAGGCTATAGTATCTTTTGTTTATAAGGTTTATCAATCTAACCAGTACAAAATCTCCATTTATCCAATTTGGTTTTGTGACCTGGAACTGCCTTTTGCCACAGGCCTGGAAGCAAGGTTTTACATTCACTAGGTATGAAGAATCAAGCAGTATGTTTCACTCTCTTACACCTCTTCCTGCTTTACAGTTTATATATCTGAAATTCCTGTCACAGGGAACAAGGTGTAAAATCACAATTTATTAATGCAGCTCTCATTTTCACATATGTGGAATAATAACTGTCTTATTCCTTCTGATCTCATTTTTCTAGTGAGGAAATGAGCCACAAAACAGATCTGCTTGGAGTTACATCACCAGTTACCTCAGCATGAAGAGTAGGGGGAATGTTCAAGCAACATTATAAGAAACAGAATAAAAATTGAAATTAATTTACGTACATGTTCTATTTTGAGTAGTCTTAGTTAATACTTTAAGGTTTATAGCGATAGCACCATTTTGCGTGATAATTTACATTTTAAAGAACCACTGACAGTAGCTGTCTTAGAATATTCTAATGTTTTTCCATAGATACCTTAACAAACAACTTGGATAGCACTTTTTGAAATGCTATGGCTATGTAATCCACACATAAACGCTTAAAATGTTGGAGTTGATTTTTTAAAAAATTCTAACTAGAATTTCAAAATCATCTTACACTTTTTTAAGTTTATAAATTTAAAATGAAAGCAAATTACAAAGTAAAATGCATCAAATATGACATTGCAACCCTCTAAAGAATTGTTCTTCTGTTTATGAATGAGTACCTGAAATACCACAGCTGATCTACAGTATATATAAATCTGCTTATCATGCCATGAAACAAGTCAAAAGCATCTACTGAACCTAGATAAGAGTTTTGATTATCTAATATTTTCTTATTACAGTACTAAATACAAATGGAAGGGAGTCAAGGAAAACTTTGTATCTTTCATTGTTTACACTCTGATTCAGCAGATGAATGTATATGCGAAAAAACACTGATTATAAGATGATTCAGGTCAGCAGTATTCATAAATATAAATAAAACTAGCTATCTGTGCACTCCAGACACCAGGGATGACAAAATGCATATGTGTTAAAATTTAAGAAGATATTCCCGTTAAGCTCTACAGAGTTTAAGGCTTATAAGTATAAATTATAAACTATGATTTCAAGATTAATTTTACATTAAAGATTGTTTATACCGTATCAATACATTTTAGAACTCTGCCTGATATTTTGGTTATCTAAGAGGAGAGCAGCAGCTAGCAGCTTTGGGATGTATGTCTTGTTATTTATCTGCATAGCTTCTATAGAAGTTATGCACGGATGTTTGGTGATTATACTCCCTGAGAACATGGGTTTCAAAAGCTTCCATTTTTAGAAAGAAAGAATCCAGGTTAAGGAAAGTATTGGGTAAGAGAAAAAGCAAGCTACATGGGAAGGGGGAATAATAAAAGTGATTAAATAAATTCATTCAAATTTTTTGCATTCTATTACATGTACTGTAACATTGTATTTTTCCTATTTCAAAATTGTCCTTTCTAAATGAAAACTAGTTTCTAGACCAACAATGGAAATACTTTTTTTTTTTTTTTTTTGATATATAGTTCCCTTATTTCTGAGTCATGTACCTCTTCAAAAATCAGGACCTTGGCACCTAAACCACAGTGTTACAGTTTGGTATTAAAAAGAAATATTTTCCAGCCATTTAAGCAATTTCTCAGTCATGGTTTCACAAAATGTAAACACTTTTGAAACTAAAATGTATGTATCTTTTTTTGCTCTAAAGAATTCAAGGGCTGCCAAATCTACATGTACAAAAAAACAAGAGACTCATATGTAAATAAGTTAGGGAAGTCCCAATAGTTGTGCATCATTCATAACTCAATGTGAATTTCACACTGAGCAGCATTTCACCATTGGAAAATAAAAATAAAATTTTTGTTCATACCACGGCTTTGTTTGTATTTACTGTATTAAAACTTTAATTACTTTGTTGCCATTTTCTGAACATGTTTGGCTGAGACCAGGCTACTGCATAGCACAGCTGATTTTTCAAGTCAGTTGACCTTCAGGCTCCCTATTTCTATAAAAGCAGTTAAATTCAATGAATACTGTGTGTGACAGTGCAATCTGTTCCAAACAGTGATTTCTAATAGCATACAGAATTGTCATCCTAAAAGTTATTAGTGTAACAAATTTTCATTTGCTTTACTTTTAAGAGGACTAAGCAGCTGTACATATATAGAAAACTATGATAAAAGTACATATGAGTTGCAGGATACATATTCAGAACAGGTAATCATACATTTGTACCTTTATTAGTTTCATTCCTTATACTCCTATAGGTTATGCATTTGAAAGTATCGTAACATGTAGACTAGATAACCAACTTACTGACACATTAACCACAGAAACCAAGTTCTCTTGTGGACAAGGGTCTATTCAAACAGTTTTCAGGTAATTGGACCTCAGTTATACAAATACTATGCTCTGACCAAATGAAAAATCAATAGTTTTTGTTATAAGCTTCTTTACGGCTTCTCTCAGTTTATGAGCTGGTGCATAATCAGGATCGTTACAAAGAAAAAAGGGCAAACAATGTATTTGTCAAACACTGAAAAATGGATCAAATTAATTATTTGCCAAACATTCAACTAGTGCTACTTTTCTACAGGAGTATTGTTGCATACTGATATGGAGAGGTGACAACCAAGTAAATAATGCTTAAAAAAAGGCTTTCTTACACTGTTTTCAAAGATTGCTTAGAAAATAGGCATTATGGGTGTAATCTCAGTCCCACTGAATTTACCAAAAAACTCTGGAGAAGTTCCAGAGGGCCAGTATTTTATGACTTCATCTTTTAGAACTTGGACTGTCCTGCTCCCAAGACATTTTATTTTTTTTTCGTTTGGTTTTGTCATGCTTTTCTTTAAGGAGCAGTCCCTCAAATGCGTGTTCTAAAGTATTTGCACCCATATACGTGTGTGTGCACGCACACCCACACCCATACACTGAGTACTTCTGAAATTAAATGTTCTAGCAGCCTAAAGAATAACAACCAAAAAAACCTCCTCAGTCTTTTATGTCCTTTGTTAAGGGTATTCTCTCCCCAACCAGATTTCACAAGCATTTCCATTCCATCCTTCCCAGCACTCACAGTTTCCACAGCTACAAACACCATTGCCTAGAAGAGAATGAATAAAGGGCAATTATCATAATTGAAATGTGCCACATTAAAATGTGTTTTATGGGCAGTAAAAAGCTATGCTAAAGTAGTTGCATTGTTCCTTTATTGTTCCCCCCATCCCTTTTTTTTCCTTTGGAAGGGAGCAATTACTGTTCCATTGCATTAAGAAGCCACCCCAAACCTACACTTCCAAAGCAGTAATAGCATTCTATCAATAATTCCATCAACAGAATTGCAAATATTGTAAATATGCCACCATCATTTGTACCCAGGTGTTGAGGCTCCGTGTTCACACTGTACCTCCAGGTACAAGGAAAAACAAGATTACTTTTAACTATTAGGCAGAAAGAAAAAGAGATAAAAGTTACAAACAGAATAGCAATAAAAACGTCACTTTGAACATGAAAAACTTTAAGTTCTCGGAAATACTATATAAATAAATAAAATCTCAAACTCTCTATTAAATAGATGAAAAATGTGTTGTCCCTATTTTGCAGGGAAGAAACGTTAAGTGCTGAGACCCGTATTTTCACTTTACTTCACTATTTTTGACTTAAGGATGCTCAGCTTGAGACCTCTACAGCCTGGGTTTCCAATGGGAGCTCCTCTTCCTACTGACTTTATGAAGTGTGAATTAACTGCTGCAGCTGAAGATAAGGCTCCTGTTGCTTCTATTCTGGCTACTTGCCCCCAGAAAAGGACCCTTGCTAATAGGGCTAGCTGGTAGATACAATTTACGAGTGTCAGCCCTCCCACTCTTGCTCTAATCAGTTTGCACATTTCCTCCACATCTAATAATTGCTCAGCAAAGACTTTCTAAAATTAAGATTTATAACAGGAAGCAGCCAGTGAGTTAATGTAGCAATTCCCATGTTGCTTCTCGTCACTAGATTTGTCATGAGGGTTTGTTGGCAGCCTGCCCATTTCTATGCGCATCTGCCACCTTAACTCTCAGACAATGTTAAGGTGAAGCTGCTTTAATCACCAGACATCACATCATAAGAAAACCTGTCAGGTATTTCAGCCTCCCACTGAGAACTGTCTGATTGCCAGGTAGCTCTGTTAACCCACACAACTGTGCCTCTCACCTACCAAAGATCATCAGACAAGTGAACTTCATCTATGACTTAAATGTATTATACACATAGAAAGCCCAGTAAGAGAAAAAAAGTTAAAGAAATCTCATGATCACAGTGCTGACACTGTATGTCCTTTTCCAAAAAGCAGTAACCTGTAGACTATTACAGTGAAAACTGTTGATGGATTTCATAGCTGGCTTATTTTTTAAAATCCATACTCCGGTTTTCAACTGTTGTTTTGAAACCTCAAGTTGACTATCACACTGCACAAAGAATCAATTATAGCAGGTTTAAATAACCAATAAATGCACTTCCTCCGTCAGTGGAGAAAGACGAAGTTGCGCTTTCTCTAACATAATTCCCATCAACACGGTTTGTTTCTTAGAGCAATTAAGTGTTAGCCTGTACTGCACCTGTGCAAATGAGACCATCATGTTTGTCACAATCTCTGTCATCGCATTCACAGAAATCGCCCGAAATGTACCACTCCTGTGGTGAACAGATGCACTTTCCACAGTGGCAGGAACCTGAAATCACAAAAATTATTACCCACAGTCAAAGAGCACTGGCATTTTCTGATTAGAAAATAACATCCCCAGACACACACGTGCACACATACACATGTGTGCATACTCACAAAATTGCTGCCTAAGTAGCTATTGCATAAAAGAAAATCATCAAGCTAAAAGCTTTTTGAATAAAGCGATACTTTTGGGGTGAGCTAGAATATGGTGGGACGTTACTACTAATGCTTTGATTCTGCTATTTCACTTAATCAGGACTCACATTCTGAAGCTTTCCTTTGGTTTCAGAGTCCTACAATCAGGGCTGCTCTTCCCAGTAGCTGTTTTTTTGGTGGGTTGGTGTTTTGTTTTGGTGTTTTGTTTTGTTTTTTTTTTTTTACTATAAAAGCTCAAATTGTCCCTGAAACACTGTTACTGAAATCGTAGGCAGGAAGAAAATTACCCTCCTCATCTAAAGCCTTTAGGGATGAGTCCACAAAAGAACAGAGGTGCCAAAGATTAACATTTAGACACCAAAAATCCTCATCACCGCAAATGAAGCTGCTCCACCTTCCATGGAATTACTAAGTATTTGCTCTGGGTCAGAAATATAATAGTTTGTGTACATAGCAGCGGCTCAGCAGTTTGCTCATTCCTGCAGAGTACTGCAGTGCCCTTTGTTGGGATTAGCCACTCTCCTCCTCCTCAGAGATGGCAGGTCACACCCCCACAGGCAAAGGAGCAACTTTATGGTGACATTCAGGTGATGCTGCAACCCACGGAGCACCAAAAATCTCCCTTTAAGGGAATACTACTCAGAGACATCCCTACCTTCGGGAGAGGGTTCATGGCTCTGAATCCTGGAAGGGAGAGTTGCCCCCAAGCTATCATGTGTCAGGAGGCCTGAGAAAGCTGTGAGAGAGGCTGTTCTGCAAGTAGAAATGCCACTGACAGATGGTAATTCCTCCTGGCTGATCCCGACACCCGGCTGAAGAGAGTTGGCTTTCACAGAGCCCATTCTCAGCTGCCTGACCCTATACAGAGTTCAGACGCTTAACACCACGGTGGGACGCTTAGTAACTGCTAAGCAAAAATCGGTTTTGTGGACCTAGCCCTCAGAACTGGTTACAGCACAACTCAATACAAAAATCTCAAAACCCAAATAAATGGTCACAAAGAATATACACATAGTTTCCAATTAAGGGAGCAGCAGTTTACAAAAAAAAAAAAAAAAAAAAAAAAAAACCTTTGACAGAACATGTTTATAAATGAGTTTAGCTGCTGTCGAAAATCCCACCTTCTTGCAGTATTTCCACAATGATTACAGTACAAAGTCACCAATGTGTTTAATGCAATATTAAACAAAAATATATAGAAGAAAGCTTGGTTATGTCAGAACATAACCTATAGAGAACTCACGGGTTACTTAACAGGGTCTGAGCCAAAGTATATAAAATGATGCTTTTCCATCTCTCCATTCCTTTCAGTGACTTCTGAATAAAAACCATAGTAAAAATCTAAATATACATTTTTTTTAAAATGTGGATCTGTCAATACCAACCAATTTTCCCTAGGTTCTTCCCATAAATACTGAAGTGTCCCTGATCACTGAAACATAATTCTTTGAAACTTCAGAACAACCTCAGCAGAGTACATATTTTTTTAAAATTAAAAATGTAAGTTATTTACCGTGCATGGTAAGCTGACAAAAATTAACTCATTGCCTAATTTTAAAGAAATGCTGTTTTAACTTGTAACGTATGGAACATGTAAATATATACAGGAAGAGCTAGTGATGGAAACGTTTGGGGACGGGAGTATTTGGTTAAGCATCTACCTTTTCCATGAGTTCAGAGTATTGTTTACAGAGCCATGGGCACAGAAAATACATTCCCTACAAGGATAAAAAATGCCATTTGTATAAAGAGGCAGTGGAGGATAGCATACATATTGTATGGGTGCTGTATAAGAGATACACTGTCATACTTGAGAGCAATTTAAATCGACTGTCTCTGTCTATAAAAACTACAAGGTACTGACAGCTGAAAATAATGATGAATAGTAAGAGAATTTTAGTGAAATTAAAGCAGTTAATAAGAGCATGACACTGTAGGAAACCTGAAGTGACTGCATAAGCAAGCACTGATGCTGCTACTGATGGATGCCCACGATGTTTAAAACTATTTTTCAGGGGATACAGCAAATTTAACACCAAGTCAACAAAGGTAGATCAGGCTCCATCATGTAAAATCTGTTAAGGAGAACGAATGTATCAAGTTTTTTTCCCTGAACAGAACATGCTGCTCTGGGAGGCTCCTCAGTTTAATTAAAATGGGTCTAATGAGTTGCAGGGTGTTCCCTGGGATTGTAGCCAGTTCCTCTTGGATGGGATTTGGCTCATTACCTAGCCCGGGTCCTGCACTGTTACAGTAGCCATCTGCAGCCCTACATTTACAGCCAGGGAGGCAGCAGCGTGGTGGGTGTTGCTGTTTTCCTTGGGAAGAGCTTTTACTACAGGTGGCATAGTCAGTGAGCCAAGATTTTGAAAACTGCCTAGGAATGTGGATGTCCTGTCCAACTGCATTTATATTAACAGAGTGTAATTTTCTGAAAGTGTTCAGCAGTTATGTGCTGAAATCCAGGACTCCTTAGAGTCTATTAAATTCGACATACAGAAACTCAAGCTCCCTCAGTCTATTGCAGTGCTTGCATATCTTGACTAGTTTTGCACCAAAGATGGAATAAACACCATTACTGCACGGGTTCAAAATTCCCTTATGTTTGACCAGCAATGGTTACTTATTGCTCAGTATAATGGAACAAAAAGAACAATTTGTCATTTTGGTCTCTGGAGAGTGCTGGTCACAGTAGCTATGAACATTTTAAAGTTTGGGTACTCAGAAAGACATGATTTCCAGATACATATTTAACATCAAGAACAGCTTTGCCTATAAAAACCCAAACAAACAGACAAACAAAAAAAAGCTAAGCATAGAAACAAAACTTACAAGCAATTTGACTGTATTTGCCTGTGATCCCCACCCTGCTCAGAGAAGAGATGGGAGACAGTAGTGCTCACTGGCCACACACTTCTGGAAGTTATCTTACATAAGTATTTCTCTGCTTTGACAAGCACGTACATATGACCAGCTGTTCCCACAATAAAGCTGCTATAACATCTAATTTGACACAGCTTTATTATGTTGACTGTCCTCAGGGCAACCTTCCATCACATTGGAAGGTTACATGTGCTTGAAGGCTGAAGAAACTTTAAAAAGCCATCCCACCGGTGTTGCTGAATATGGACTTAAGGTCAGGTTTCTAATTCCCATAGAAAGTAAATGCTGTTCTACTGTATTTGCACTACTACATTAGAAAATCTGGGCCTTTGGAGCTCCCATTCATGCAGCCAGGTTTAAAAGCACTACCTGCCTTCAGCAAGTTACAACCTAGAGCAACTTTCAGGATGCTCCAGCCTATACCAGTGACCAGATCCCAAACCACCCCCTGGGCAGCATACCCAGAAGACAGAAAAAAAAGCTTCAGTGTCTCTGCAAATTCCTGATGGATTGTCTGCTCCCAAAGCCTCAGAGTAAATTGTAGCTTTGCTATATATGCTCAAAGCTAATTGTTCTCAGAGTAAGACCCACAGGCTGGAATAAATAGCTCTCAGCCATCCTTACAAAAAAGGTAGCAGATAATATAAATATTTTTAAATTCAATGTCATTTTTCATGTTTATATTTATTTAGAATCTTATATAGTGCATTTTATTGATTTTAAGCATATTCACTCACCTTCACGATTTATATAAAAAATCACAAGGAGATCAAGACTAAAAGAAGAAAAGTTAACTTCTGCAGTAAAACAGAGTAACTTAATTTCTCCAGTAACTCAGCATCCTCTTACACATACACTAATTTAAAGATAGCCACATCTTCTGGAAACAATAGCAGTTTGTCTTCCTCATTTTCTATGACATTGCAACAACTGGGGAAAAAAAAATAAAATGGTGCAGTGGGGGAGAATTCTGGTAAGTGATAATACAGATGGAAGAAGGCCAGGCTAGAAACCCCTTTTAAAATTTCCTTTGCACTGAAATGAAAGTTACCAAAGGGACAACTGAAAATCTGTCTGATATAGAAGGGTCCTAACCGCTTTTTTCCAGCTAGCAGCTTTTTCCCCTCTCTCTGCAAGGGATACAGGAACAGAGGAAATGGCCATCCAGTCTGGAGTGAGTGCATTCTAGACTCCAGCCAGTTCCACCACCAGTTTTTTGACGATTCTCTTTCAGACATGTTATATACAAAACTAGACAGTTTGCACTATGGGGGAGCTAAAAAGCCCTCTTTCCAGTAATGCAATTTCCTAGCCTGAAAGACTGCAAGGTAAGAACCTCAGAGAACAATTTCAGGTAATTATCAAGATTTCCTAAATTTTATTCCTCCCTGTGGCCTTTTTTTATGGCTGGACTGAAGCTGATGCAATCACCTGAATAAAATTTTGTAAATGAGAGCGTTTGTGAGATTCTGTCGTGAGGGCTGCAGTTATCTTACCTCTCCTCTGCTGCTGTGTTGGGGAGAGGGATGATTAAGTATACCAAATGTTTTTCAGTTAAACACTCATCTCCACGTAATATTGCCTCTGATACTACATCTGCCATCTTGCCCACTGCAGTGTTACTGCAGGTAGTGCCCCTCTCCCTCAAACTGGATGGAGCACTAATGGTTAGTTTATAATGCACAGCTGTTCAATGCAGACCATCAGATAAACACATACAGGAAATTATATGCTATTAACAAATTGCATAGGAGACTAATGCTCCTAAACATGTGTGGTGGGTGTTTGACAAAATGGATGTAAGTGCATTACAGAGCTGAATATAACATCCTTTTAATAGTAGGTGCCTTTGAAAGAAGGGGTTACTAAACAACAACCCTCTGCCGTGCACATTAGTCTTCCTGAACATGATCATTTTCCTCTGGTGGGGCACTGACATGGTGTAGCTCAGCTGCCAGTTCTTACCCTTCCCCGAGCATAATATGCCATCCGCTGACTCGCAGAGACTTCTGCTCTCCTCCTCCGTCATGTTGCACTTCCTTGAATGCTGGCACAACTTTCCAAACCACCCATCCTGGCAAATGCATCGGCCACATGAGCAAATACCACGGCCTGCAACAACACCAAAGTTGGTTATGAGCAAGTCAAGCAGAAAGCAGTGACTAACGGTCTCAACTGAGATCTTCTTCAGACCTCTGCAGTGTGAAGTGTATCCTACGGGAGAGACAGACGGAGAGATGGACAGCACAGCTTCCCAGAAGGGTAGCATTCTTCAGTTCTCTCATTCTTGTGTTAAATAGGGTGCCCAAGTGATGGGCAGAAAAGCACAGGGATGGCTCCCCTCATCAGCTCAACTTTATAGGATGTTCCCTAGTCCACAGTGTACTGAGGGCAGACACAACCTCTTTCCTCCCATGTCTTTAAACTTGCAGCCCAATGCCAAAGTCTCACCTGCATATCCCATACTGTCACCTGAAGAAGCAGACCCCAGCACAGGGCTGAGAGCAGCACAGCACACAGCAGAACAGGCAAGAGATACAAAAGTCACAATCTCCTCCAGCTGCCCACTACTGCTGCTTATCTGCTGCAGTGTATGGAGCTGCTGACGTGCAAAGCCTGGACTCAACATACTCTGCAATTACTGCAGATTAACTCATACAGTACAGGATGAAGATAAATCCCCCAAGTCTCATGCACTCTACTAAAATTGGTTGTATGTAAACTCAGCTGGCAACCTGCAAAGAGTTCCTCTCATCACCCCAACACCTGTTTCTCTTCTGCATCTCTTCTCCAGACATAGCTATCCCAGCTCAGCAGTTTAAAAGGTTTGGTACTTTCACTCCTGATACTGTAGTGAAATGCTGAGGGAGGAGCAGGAAGGAAGAACAGACCAAAGCATTCTCCAGAGTACATGCTTGTATGACCCCAAGGTGGGACTTTTTTTCTTCTAAGAAGAATGGGCAGGCTACCTTGGTGGGTTCTCTCCACAGAAACACACAGATTTCAATTCCCAGATCAAGACAAGAAGCCTGAATGAGAGGGAAGATGGACGGGCAGAAGAATAATACAGTAGTAAGGATATGGCTATCAAAAGACAATTAATAATGAGGAGGAAAAATAAAGGAAAATGAAAGGACAGAGAGAAAAGAGGAATAAGAAATAACAAAATAGGAGGCAAATGAAGAAGACTACACTTTGAAATGTTAGGGAAAGAAGGACGGGAAATACCAAGTGATAGAAAGGTCAAAGAAATCGTAGAATGGGAGTCAATGATAGAGCCTAGAAGATATAATTGATGTTTTTAAAAAAAAAAAGGAATTAAAAAAAAGATGAAATTATTTGTACAAAGAACAATGGAAAAATAAAATATGTTGAATACTAAACTGAGTAGAAAATCTGGCCAGAAAGAAGGGAAAAATGACAACAAATGCAGACAAGAATACAGAAATGGAAAATAGAAAAAAAAAGAAGAAATAAACTCCTAGTCAGAATTTCACTTTTCACTTTTCAACCCTGAATAATATTTCTGCAGCAGAGAAGAACATTCCTCAGCTAATCAGTTTACTGGGCTTAAAAGAAGAAAACTATACATACCAGTGACTTCTGTCCTATCCTACCTGCTATGTAGGGCAAGGCAGTGGAAACAAGGAGACTAAGATAATTTGGTAGCACGGGCTGGGAAGAAGGGTACAAGCAGTAGGAGTGTCTGGCAAAGCAATGAGTTGTAGGATGCAGAGAAGGAAACCAGCAACTTTGCTTTTCTGATTTTTGGACTCCTCATGGGGCAACAGTGCAACTTGACATTGCAAACCGGGTGGCAGCCCAAAGGAGAGACAAATCTTGAGTTTGTTATAAGTGGAATTCCTCAGTGTTTTACTGATGGCCAAATCCTTTACTAATTTAAATTAGAAAATATTTGAAGCTCCAAAGTCTTGGAGATGTCAATTACAGTGATCTAAATGTTCAGAATAATTTTCATACCCTAGATTGTGTATTGATCTTTGGGGTTTTTTGTCTTATTACCTATACAACTTTAAACGCTCACTAACAATGACACAGTCTTATTATGACAGCATTCCTACCCACTTCGGCAAGTGACATTCAGCAATTACAAATTCACGTATATGTATTTAGCATATGTCAAATATTACAAATTGATAACTAGCAACAATAGAAGCTTGATGCTACTTTACCTTCTGTGTTAGACTGGGAAACAAGAACAGCTATGCCACAAACCAGAATAGAAGAGGTAGAAAACAAGCATACATAATTTCCCATATGGTCCTTACAGGTAGACAGCATGCAGTTGTCTACATTTACTCCAGCTAAACTTCTGTCAGAGTGTTTTTATCTGCCTTATTTATTTTTAATTTGTAACATATAGATTAGATTTTGGAATAGCTCAACCACTCAAGAGCAGAATATACCACTCTAGAGCAGAATATGCAACTCGATGTCCGTGTTGGAAAATTATTTGTGGACATACAAATACTTGTACTCATTTTAGCAGCAAATAGTAAGAAATCCATGCTGATTTCACTGAGAAAATAATTTTGTATCATTTTTCTTGTAAAGTCATTATGATTTACAGAATGCAGAGATGATCATGTCTGTAAAGCCTTTACACAAGTCAAATAAAAAGTTAATGAATAATCTATATATTTACAGCAGAGTTTACAGTCTACTACATAAAATTGACATGCATTTTTCTGAAGCGACCATTCGTCTCCTCCTATTTGCCATATAAATCCTCAAAATATAAGGATTTTGTCTCAAGTAATCCATTTTGCCAAAATAATATTTACTCCTAGCTGATATCAGTTTGGGCAGCTGCAGCTCTTTGGATGCCCCATGCATCAGGGTGGTGAGTATGCAAGTGCTTGTTAATTCCAAGCTATCTTCTGTGTGTGCTAACCTGTGAAAAACTGCTTTACATGGTTTAGTTGTGTGTATCCTCCTTGTAGAGGTTCTTCGTCTTTGTGTGTGAATCTGTCCAAACCAGCTGACCAAAAGGAAGGGCCAAAATGTCATAAGTAACAGCTTTTGGTTGAATGCAATATTCAAATTACATTCAAAGTGTCCAAGTTTCATTCCAATGAATCCCAGACTCTCAAAATTATGAGCAAAAGCAGTAACAAAAAGGTGCTGCTCTTGCTCATAAGTCCTTTTAGATCAGAGTAGAATAAAATTCAAGAATCCAGCAATCATAGAGCAAAGGGGAAAAGAAAAATCTCTAATTGAAGGAGTCCAGCCCAACCGAATTGGCTGACATGATGTAATACTGATTTAACTGTTCAGATTAAGCAGATCTACTGGAAAGTGTTGGTCTATCATCAATTCAGATTTAACATCAAATACTTAAAATCACAAACAAATTGCATATTGCAATGGTTGTGAGACTATAGATCTTAATTCATAAAAATCTATGTTAATGAGCATTTAAATATATAACAGTATGTCTTAAACATTAATCTCCAGTCAGGAAGAAAGACTGTGATGGGTGAGAGGCAAAGGAGAGAAAAAGATGATGTTAAAGATACTGTCACTTTGGTTAGAATTATCAATAAATCAAATAACCACAGGATTTAAATGTGAAATATGAATGCAGCAACAAAGAAAGTTGTGATGCATTACTAGCAGAGGTCCATTATAACCCAAATCAAGCCAAATCAGACTGGACACCAGGATGAATTATTTCATACCATGCCTGGAAATAGAACTGTGTGGCTGTGGAAAACTTCAGTTTAGGACTAATCATGCAACTGTTACCAGAGTTCCCAAAAATCTTGCATGATAAATTTCCAATACAAAAGGCACAACTACATGGGAATTTCAGCATGATGAAAAATGTGAAATAATCATTGCAGAGAAATCTGGTTCTTATTTATAGATCAACATTATAACCAGATGATGTTCATGAAGGGCAAACTGATGCCAGCCCTAAACAAAATTTAGCACCTCAGAACAGGTTTTTCAAACATATCATATTGTATAATATTTATTGCATTTATTGTATTAAGTCTATTATATATTTATTATTTGTATATTTAATAACATAAATATTAACCAGAAATGGAAGAAACAAATCTTCAGCTATAAAAATATTAATTCAACTGTCCTGTATGAAGAATTTTTCTTATAGCCCAACAACAATTTTCCACAGTAAGAGAGAAGTCCACCCAGGTCTAATGGTGGAGAGATGATATGAGTTAGGAATGAGGAAGCTGTATAGCCAAAGAAAGATAGATGAAGTAGATAGCAACCAATATAAATGAGAAATGTCGCTGTGCATAAAATGGACATAATCAGGAAAAAAAACAAACCAAAACAAATATTTATAACTGGAAGAAAAATAGAGTTTTAAAAGTGTACTAGGTATATGAAAAATCTGAGCATAATGCAGGATCCCTGATTTAGAACAAGACAGTAAACCAAACAAATATTTCTCTCTGTATTTAAATAGAAACAGGATTTTCTATTTTTTAATCACAGGACTATGATAAATAACTTTCTATTATATTGTTAACATAAGAGAATATTAAACAACATCTATTTGGGTGAAATATTTCTCAGTGAGCAGTCTTCATAAACCCGCCCAAATATGCTAAAATAGTGGGTAAAAACATTAATGAATCACTGATTCTTATTTTTCTTGAATACCAGGAGAATGTCATGAGACTGGAACAGCTGCAACAACTGCAGTTAGAGAAACTTAATACAGATGTGAAGCAAAATACTGATTGTCTATTGTATTTTCATAATAGGTCACTTAGTATTGTCTAATAAAGGTGGACTGTGGCTCCAGTTTCAGCAACACAGCAGGCAGGCAGTTCAGTAAAACTTTCAGGTGAAACTCTGCAATGAAAAGGGATAATACCATCCTCATATGCATATACCAGGAGAAAGTGAGTAGGAACAGAAGTGAGTAGGAACATTTAGAGCATTGATGAGATGGACATTTAAGTCCTGCAACTCACTGTGATATCCATGTTTGAAGGGATTTTGAAAAATTTGGAAGAGTCCCAAAAAGTTCCGAAGAAAGAATTCAAAGGGCAGAGAAAATGGTTTGTTCAAAGAACTTCAAAGATCTGTATCTGATTAGCCTATTGAAA